CTTTACAAAAAATTGTTGCTCATGACTTTCAGTATGACCCTTGTAGTCATGTGTATGAGTGACTATAGGTGGGGTTTGGATTGGTAACTGGATTTATTGACCACTTAAAGATACAGATCATAACTAAGAGAAATTATAGTGCCATCACTAATTCACATTCTTTACAGTTCACTACAGCACACAGTAACCCTTCTCAGTCCGCTGCCTTCACCAGTCGATGCCTGGTAGCAACTTTCAACGGTGAACGTTCCCTTTACTCTGGGTCCCAAAACTATCCGCATGCCTCAGCTACCAGCTTCTAACAGCAACAGCTCACAATGACTGAACTGCAGCAGTCCTCTTAACTCACTCACTCCACTGCACTGCACTAAACTGAACTTGGTTGCTTGAGACATACAGCCTTGGAGATGACCCACAGAGAACTTTACTTGCAACACCTCTTCTCTTGCTGTGTGATATCACCCTGTATGTCACGCATTCACGTACTGCATGTGTACAGGCCATTATGTAGCAACGGGTATACATGCTACAACATATATATAAGCAGACCAGACAGGCAGTAGTTACAGTTTAAAAGAGTCCAATAAATCCAATTACCAATCCAAACCCCATGTCTAGGCACTGAATATATGCCAGTATATTGAAGAGAAAAACTGTTAAAATGTGGGTCTTAGCCTGGGACCAATAATATTGTTCTGCTAAGTATCATCTTTACTCCATTTTTTCCAAACAGCAACAGTCCAACCACAGCCTTCAATGTGAATTCAGACAACCTGAAGAAACGTTACTTTATTTTGTCAATGGTGACTCGTGGTTCTACAGAAACAAATAGTTAAGTGAGATGTTATAAAAATATGGCTGATGTGGCAAGTCACAAAGCTTCAGATGGATGTCATGAATCAGCATTACCAGTTGTTATATGGACACTTGCAATATGCACCAGACATTATATGGTGACTGCTAACTAGTATGTAATTAGTATGCAGTATTAGGATAATTATGGCCACCTCTGTGGTCTAGTGATAAAAGAGTTCCTGGCTAGAGATCCAGAGGCCCTGGGTTCGATTCCTGGCACTACCAAGAAGTAGTGGGTCTGGAATGGGGTCCACTCAGCCTCATGAGGATAACTGAGGAGCTACTTGAATGGCAAAGCAGCAGCTCCAGTCTAGAAAACTGAGAGTAACGGCCATGGGAATCCCTTGCACTGACCACGCAACAACCTCTATCCACAAAAGTTTGCACTAACTTCACCAAGCGGCAGTCGTTCCATTAGTATAGTTCACTTGTGGACGAAAAGCCACAGAGTAGGATGATTATGTATGTTGAATGGGAAAGTGTTTGGAAGGAAGTGTCATAATGCACCAGTTCTGTATTTATTTGGTGGAACCAAGGAAAACTACAAAAACATTTCGGTCACAATAGTCACTTCTGGCTCAAGACTGAAACATGGAACCATGCTTCAACATCTCCCACATCATACATAAGAACTAGTGAGAAGGTAGATAAAATAGATATGGAACATCCATATCTCTCAAATGATGCTGTGTACTTACGATTGTTCTGAACGTGTTCCTCAAGCATTTCAAGCCGTAGTATGCTGCAAATTTCAGCCAGCGTTTCCAAGTGATTTATATGAATGATGAATGGTCGCAGAACATCATACAAAGTTGTACAAAGGCCTTCAAGGTATGATCTGAAGCAAAGTAGGAACACAGTTAACCGCCATTTGAGGTTTGCAACAGATCTGGACACTCAACCAAGCAAAATCTTAAATGGAGGTGATTTAACACCGAGATTATTGAAATTGAATATCAACAGAGAAACATTATATGCAACAAAGTAATGTAAAAATAAAAGTATACTTCCAGGGTGTACACAAGCCATAACTGACACTGCAAAAATACTGAACACAACATTATACGTTTGACTGTCAAGAATCTCAACATGGGATGGAATTAAAGTTGAATCATTTCTTGATTTTCAGCAAATAGAGCATCTACCTTACAGAATATAAAGGAAAAGTTCAAGTAAAGTTCATGAAATATCCACTGTTCAGACCTGCACAATAACAAAGATTTTGCATGTTAGAAAAATAACAAAATCTTCACACTACTTCTCTTGAGCTATATGCTGGATGGAGTATAAAAGATACCGGAAGAAAGAAGAACATGCTGACAAGCAAGTAAATAGTATGAAAATAACACAGTATGGTAGGTGAGATAAAAAGAAAAAAGACCTACAAGGGACAAAAACAAACCTGGAAATCATATTCAGAAAATACTGCAGGGAAATGAAATAATCACGTAAGCGTTCCTAAGAATTATACAATGACAGACAATTAACTGTGATTAATTAGCTCCCTGGGGTTCCACTCTGTACTTTATTGAAAGCAACAAGCCATTTCTGTGCCTTTCTTGCTTTGAATGGCAATCATTTCTTTCATCTATTAACATCTCAAATAATTACAGCAAAGTGTACAATATTACTACTGTCCATACTTGCATGCTAATGACAGAGAACGAAAGACATTAACTGTGCTTATCAAAAACTTCTCAGTACTTTTTGAGTTATCATCCATCTGCTTCCTCCTTTCTAGAGATATAAATTCTGGGACCATTACCCTACACTCTTACATAAGGTCTCTATCTATTCTTACTCAATATCTGCTTTACACCGTGGTCCGCCTTCACAGCAACCTCCAGTTCCTTTCTTTGTAAGAAATCTCTGTTGGGAACTTAATTTCTTCTCGAGCCCACAAACCTTTTCCTTACGAAACTGACCAATGTATTTACCACATGCAAACTGTTTAGCAAAGTACTACATGTGCATGTGGAACAAATGTGAACTACTACTCTACCTTTCTTTACCCTTTCTCATTCCTAGCCCTGTGGTCACTGACTCATAGCTTCTCTCCTCTTCACCTCACCCCTACCTGCTACTGGCACTCTCACCAACAGCACAGTTAGCTTGTTCACAGAGTTTTGAAAAAAAAAGTATATGTTTTACTGCTTATAAACTTCAGTTGTTACATGCAATCTGCCCAGGTGATAATCACAAGAGATATTGTGGGGTGCCGCCTGAAAGCTGGAATATTTGAGTCAGAGAGGGCATCCTTTGCTGGACAACAGCTTGTTAAAACACATGGCTGGGACAAGCTGGAACAGACCACTGCTGAGCAATGCTCAGTAAACACAGCCTAAAAGCTGTAATAGTGTACAAGAAATTATATAATTTTCTAGGCAACCGTTCATGCATGTTTCCGAGACAACACATACATAACAGACGTCATCACGGAAACAAAAACCAGAACTAGTGCAGTTCCCATGGTAATGAATACACTAGCTACTGGTGCATAGAACACGTGAAATGAAACCCTTGAACATGGTGTCTTCTAGACCATCTGACTGAAGAATATAACAGTCCATACAGAACAGAGAGAACAGCAGAACAGAGGAGAACAGAGCGAAGAGAGAACAGAGGTGAACAGAACAGAGCTGAGAAACCAGCAGAGCAAAGAACTAAGACCTGCCAACAAGAATAGCGGTCGAAGACAGAATAGCAGAGTGAAGACGAAATTTGAGAAATGACAGACTAGTCAGGTTGCATCGTGTGGAAGACATTATTTTTGAGTCACTGTAATTGTAAACAACTTATCCAATAAATCGCTTCAACTAATTCGGAACCAATTAATTTCTTGTTGCATTACCAGGATATGTGACAATATGATTCTGCTGTGGATATTCTTAATGAAATTGACAAGAATGAGCAGTTCTTGCATTGTGCTACGTTCAGTGATGAGGCCACTTTTCATGTTTCGGAACATGTCCACGGGCACAACGTAAGAATATGGGCTAACAAATGCCCCCACGATTTTGTTGAACATGAGCATGATAGCCCTAAATTTAATGTGTGGCATGCTCTTACCAGAGATCGCATGATTGACGTGTAGTGGAACTCACTGTAACAGCACACAATTACCTCAGCATGTTGGAACGCTTGCAGTACCCAAAAATGATGACAACGCGATCTTTCAGCATGCTCCCATGCAATAAGCCAACACTGTTATGGAATTTCTTGATAAGACACCACGGTGCTGGATTGGGAGGGGCAGAAGGAAGCAATGACCCCCATGCTCTCTAGATCTGACACCCCCTGGATTTTTATTTCTGGGGGTATGTGAAGAAAATCGTCTAGTGTTCGTATTCACAACATTCAACACCTGAAACAGCGAATCTGCTGCATCTGTCAGTCCTGATGCTCTTGGTCAAGTGTGGCAGGAAATGGAATACCACTTATATGCTTGCAGAGCCACCAATGGAGCAGACATAGAACTCTGATAAATACTTGGAAAAAAAAAACTACTTGAGTTGTTCTTTAATTTAATTCACATTTAATGTATGTATCATATTCCATTTAATACATATAATATTTTGAAGCCCCACCATGACTTTAGGGACACACTGTGTAGTAGACAAGATGACAATAAACAAGACTCAAAAAGAGACAGACCTGGAAAGAAAGAATTCAGACTAGACTCTAAACTAAATACAACACATATATAGAAGATAAGCTAAGGAAGAAGGCTTAGAGAGAGGCTCAGATAATCCTGAGGAAAAGGAACAGGACAGAATGAGGAAGAAATAAAAATCAAAGATTGGAAAAGACAAGTAGTGCCCTTTGCAACATCAAAAAACCATTTAAGTAGAAGACAACAATGGACTTCAATCACCAGACTGTCTGAAAGTAGTCACATTTTGAAAGACAGTGCCTCAAAACATTTCAAGGTAACTTTTTTATATAATATGAATCACACTGTGATGTTGCAGCAACCATGAAATAAATAACTTTATGTTGGTAAATGTCTGAAATAATTAGAATTGCACTCTAAGTCTGCTAGGCCATATGTAGCATACATGAGAAAAGCAAAAATGCTGAGAACTTTGGCACAAAAACCTCAAGCGAAATTACTCACATGAGCAAAGGAGTGGGTTGACTAAAGAACTGGTAGAACAACTGATGTTCATCCTGACACACGTGCACAAGACATGCACAGCTGCTGCGCACTAATGAACAATGGTCACCCTTGTGTGTGACTGATAACTCCATTATTGATGTTGCCACACTAGAACTGAGGAGAAGCTCCCTCTGTGTGAAGTAGCATTGGTGACATTCTGCCAGCAGCTGCTGGTACCTGCAAGTCACATAATGTGGCAGTAATCACAGTTTTCTACAAGTACAGTAACTGCCATAAAAGAAGTAATAAAATCAATTTTATTTACAAGTGACAAAGTGTGGCAGTTAGCAAATGCATTTACCATATTTTGCGTTTTATATGAGCAACGTGAACACATGAGATTAAACATTTCTTTTGAGAGACAAAGGAACAACAGTCAGCAGATAGATGTACTCTGATCTTAAACACATAAGAATTTTCAAGTTCATTTGCTCTGATTCTGTATCACTCATGGCTCCTTGTGTGCATTCCCTGCAGACACAAAATTACTATTAATGGAACTGATCAACAGATACTACTTCAATCAAAGACATAAGTTCCACTCCTAACAAAGAAACTCAAAATCCTATATAACATAAATGATTTTCCATGCATTTTCTTACATAAACAGAAAAATGCAAAAATGTTTCTAATAACAATTACAGGTATTAATATCATGTGTTGCACACAAATTTTTAGTATGAAACTCGACATGTGAGAAGTGTGTTGATATTCCATTTGAGCTACATGTGGAGTTGAGATCCAAATAGTCTGATACAGGCTAGCATAAAATCAGGTTAGCAACTTAGAATGTAGACTCCTACATACCAAATTCAGAATAACTTACTCTGGACTACGACTGACTCTGGCTTCAACTTGAGCAAGAAGTGGCTTGACACGTGGTGCTGAGGCTTGGAATTTGCCGTAACACAGAGTGAGGGCTGTATTATTCGTAACCCCCATGGGAACATGCACTGCTGGAGCCAAAACTTGCTGTGTTGCATGTTCTAGTGCCTCTACTATGTGGCTACGTATCATGGCCACCACACGAGACAGGCAATGGCGAAATCGGGCAAGATACGAGCTTGATTCTCTCCACTTGCTCTAATGACAAAACAATCTGCATCTTCAGAAAATGCATTTATAATAAAATAATCCTATGATGATACAGTAATTATATTAGCCATGCAACTCACTGTCTTAATTGCAGATCTGAAAATGACCTGTGAAAGAGGTCAGGAGTGCATGCCTGACTGACCTCACACAAGCAATATGCTCCCTTAATCTCAGTCCAGTGGTGTTTGGCTATCAGTGAAATAAACCCCTCTGGCAATTTACTGATTTTATGTTGTTATTTTAGCTAATTGAGATTTTGTAGTTAAGAAACATAACACGATTGACTACCCCATCTTCAAGGGTAGCCATGATTCACATCATTTTATTTATACATATTATTTTTCTTCCATTTATGAATATCTTCAATTTCAGGCTATTGCAAGTCAATGACATACCAAAGAATTTCTATATAGTCCTATATAGTTTAATAAATTATGTTTATCGTCACCAAGTTTTAAAACTATTAGTAATAGAACTTTTTATATTTGTCATCATTTTATTTTATTCTATTATTTGGCTTATTTGTCTTTATATATATATATATATATATGTACCACTTGACGTGTTCCATATCCTACCTGTTGTACTGTGGATCTACAGAATGTAAAATAAATGCATGAATGAATTAATTAATTAATTAATTTTTGGCAAGCCTTATTTTCTTTATTACATCTTACATGAATATCATTTAACTGCAGAATAAAATAATGTCCAGACACCATGGTGATTACTTTTATTACATTAACAACAGGTGGCAGGCAATTTGAGAAAAATATATATAAAATTACGTATGTACACAAGAAATAATGACTCAGAGGGACATAACATACATCTAGCCCCTTCTTCTATGCTCCACAATTTAAATTATCATTATGAAATTCTTCATACAGAACACACTGTATGATTTTAAGACATTCTATTCAATAAGAACAGCCATTCATACTATTTTCTTGACACAAACTTCTTTACAAAGAGCCTCTAACATTCACACCTACTGGCCTGAAAGAACATGCTAAGCTTACACTTGTTTTGTTCATGGTACAAGTCGTGAAACCCCGCAACAGTGTTAACAGGTTAATGCGATTAGGGTTATAAAGTGTGAAACCCCGCAACTGTGAGATAAGTAATTGTAGCCGTTAGTTGTAGATTGTTAAATAAACCAGTTAACGATCACTACGGCGTATTCAGTAACGTAAACACGTTACATTGGTGTCAGAAGTGGGATACGAACTTACACACGTGACCGACGGGATTAGAACTTACACACGTGACCGACGAGATTCGAACTCGAAACACGTGACAATTTGGTGTCAGAAGTGTTACGAACTTAAACACGCCACAAATTGAATTATTGTGCATCGTGTACTCTACTGCGACAAGATGGAGATGCAGCAGATGATGGAAATGCTGGCGAGGATGGACGCCGATAGGAAGAAAGACAAAGAAAAGAGAAGGAAAGAGAAGGAAGAGATAGAGGAAAAGAGAAGGAAAGAGAAGGAAGAGATGGAAGAAAAGAGAAGGAAAGAGAAGGAAGAGATGGAAGAAAAGAGAAGGAAGTGATGGAGGAAAAGAGGAGGAAGGAGAAAGAAGAAATGCTGGCAAAATTGGACGCCAGCATGAAAACCCATCAGGAAGAAATGAAGGCCGATAGAAGAAAAGACAGAGAAGATTTCCTGGCAAAATTAGACGTCAACCAGAAACAAACCGAAGTCATGCTGACAAAATTAGACGCCTACCAAGAAAAGGCGGAGGCCGATAGGAAGGCCGACAAGGAAGAAATTAAGGCCGAAATGCGATCTATGCGGTCAGAGTTGGATGACCAAATCCAACATAGAGTCGAAAACATTTTGGCGATCGTTGAACACGACAAACAGACTCTCCGGTCAGAAATAACTGAGCAGATTGACGTGTCCCTCTGCGCGCGGACAGATAAACTCCAGGAAAACCTGACGAAAAACTACAACGAAACCTGCGCAGCAATTGACGAAACCAAACGCGAGTTCCAGGCCCGGTTGGACATAGTGCAAATGAAGGCCGAGCGGGGAAATACAGCAACGATCGTCGCGAGTACAGCTCAGCCACCGACATTCAACGGAAATTCAACATGGAGCGTGTTCCGGCGACAATTCTAGACCGTAGCAGAACACAACCAATGGTCGGACAGGGAAAAATTAACATACCTGATCACCGCCCTGAAGGGTCGGGCGGCAGAAATGCTACCCGGCATTCCGGCAAATGCCACTTACGAGGAAACTCTTCAGGCTCTAGAGGACCGTTTCGGGGACCAACACTTTGCAGCTGCCTACCGCTGCCAATTAAGAACAAGGACCCAGAAACCTGGAGAATCCCTGCAAGACTTTGCCACGGCCATTGAACTACTTTCCCATCGTGCCTACCCCGATCTACCTGCAGACCACATAGGAAGAGAGGCAGGAATAGCCTTCGTATACGGAATACGAGATGCCGATATAAGGTTCCAGCTGCTGCTAGGAGGTGAGAAGAAGGTAAACGAGGCCCTCCGACGAGCGCTAGAGCTGCAAGCGGTACTGATAGCAGCTAGACCTCACGAAGGTAGCACCAAGACATACCGGAAGTACCGATCGTCCCCCACCCATCGAGGAGACGGAAGACAATCAGGGTGCTGGAGTTGTGGAAAACTGGGCCACTTCGCGAGTAACTGCCCCTACGAACAGGAAGGGTACCCAACCGTCGGGAAACAAGCGGCGGCCGGCGAAGGAGGGCGGACGCCGGCATATGCATTAAGGCCCCCACACTACCCACTCACCGTCAAAAGGGTGAATGCCAACCATAATGAGATGACGGCCTGTCAAGAGATAGAGGCACGTCTACAAGAAGGAAAGCCGGCCTCAGTGGACACGAAACCTGCGGCGGCACAACAAGAGGAGGTCCCCACAGTGATACCGGTCAGAGTGACGATGGCCTGCCGAGAAACAGAGGCACGTCCAGAAGGAGAAAAGCCGGCCTCAGCGAACAGGAAACCTGAGGCGGCGGGTTTACAAGAGGTACCCATACAAGACGCCGAAGTAATGCCGGTCGGAGAACCGAAGAAGAAAAGGCGCAGGGACCGACATCGACGAAATATGAAGAATTCGACGCGGGAAAAGAGTGGACCCCAGAAGAACTTGGCTGCCCCCTGCAGGAAGACATCCCGTCGCGCGACAGTGGCACGACGTTGGAGAAATGACTTCAAGAAGGAAACTCCCCAGGGAACCTTCGGATGCCGGAGAGAGGACTTGGCGCCACGGTCTCGTGCCAGCAAGCGGCTGGAAGACCAGGAGGAACGACGAAGCCGGCAAGGACGAACAACGCATCAAGGGCTGTTACGTCGACATGAGGAGCCTCCGAAGACAAACTTGATCAAGGACTGGACATTATGGAGGGGTCGACCCCCTCCAAAACGAAAAAGACCTCAAGCAGAGGAGGAACCGGTAATGTAGATGAACCGGCCTCCCCAGAGAGAATGAATGTGCCATAGAATGAAAGTAATGGATGAATGGGACACAACTGGATCTTCTGGCGAGCTGAAAGGAAACCGCTCGAGACGAGTCGATCTTAAGAAGGGAGCGGATGTAACAGCCGGAGACCAGATGCTGCAAGAACAGCTATGGGACGGAAAAGGAACGGGGGTGCACCGTTAGGCTATTCGGGACGAACAGCCTTAAGGAGGGAGCAGTGTAACATGTTGCGCGACTGAGAACCCCCCTCCCCCCTCCTCTCCACGGTAACGTAGCGCTCCCCGCCACTCCCCTCCGCGGTGACGTCACGCGGTGACGTAACGCGCAACGCTAACGTAACCGTAATCAACGTCCTACTGTGACGTGGCACTCATTACGCCACAGGCAAGCACTGCAGCTATATAAGTGGATGCACAGTGCGTATCGATCAGTTCGAGTTCCAGTGTGGCTACCGCCGAAGACATTCCGAGTTATAAAGTAACAGCCAGCCGACTACAAGTTGGAGTATAGCAGCCGTCGCGGAAAGAAGATCCGGACGTGTGTGTAATTGTGTAATTGGGAGCGTGTGATACAGTGATACAAAGCTCCCCTACGGTAAACGTGTAGACTACTGAAGACAGAGTGAACTGATTTGCGCATAGGGTTATAAGTCGTGAAACCCCGCAACAGTGTTAACAGGTTAATGCGATTAGGGTTATAAAGTGTGAAACCCCGCAACTGTGAGATAAGTAATTGTAGCCGTTAGTTGTAGATTGTTAAATAAACCAGTTAACGATCACTACGGCGTATTCAGTAACGTAAACACGTTACAATATCATTTAACTGCAGAATAAAATAATGTCCAGACACCATGGTGATTACTTTTATTACATTAACAACAGGTGGCAGGCAATTTGAGAAAAATATATATAAAATTACGTATGTACACAAGAAATAATGACTCAGAGGGACATAACATACATCTAGCCCCTTCTTCTATGCTCCACAATTTAAATTATCATTATGAAATTCTTCATACAGAACACACTGTATGATTTTAAGACATTCTATTCAATAAGAACAGCCATTCATACTATTTTCTTGACACAAACTTCTTTACAAAGAGCCTCTAACATTCACACCTACTGGCCTGAAAGAACATGCTAAGCTTACACTTGTTTTGTTCATGGTACAACAGAATTATAACACACTGCACAGACATTAGCAATTACGTCTTCAGTGTAGAATAACAACACTTCTAGTACTTCTTTTTGGGTGGTGCTTTGAGACAAAATACATAAGGCCGTGTTTTATTAAATAGATTCATAAATTTACTGAATTTGCTGAAATAAAGTCTGGTCTCTGGAAGACCAAATATTTCTTTCATAATCAAACTCTGTTAGGGATTAGCATGTTATTTTCATGCAAAACCAGACTGAATATGATTGGCAAAGACTGATGGATTCTTATGTTATTTCATGATACTGCTTGAAATTCAGAAGTTACATAATGTAAAATTAAAAGAAATACTGAATGGTGGTACGTAGGGCAAGTATTTAAAAGGAACCAGCCATGGCTTATTTCAATGTATTATCAGGAAATCTGCTTAGAAGCACTCCCGGAAATTATAAAAAATCTATCAAGACAGTTGGTAACTTGAAGAAGATCTGAACTGTTTCCTCCTTAATACAAGCTTAGAGTCTTACTGCTAAAAAGTACAAGAACCCAGTAATTCTATGTAAATTTTTCTTCTTCAATCAGGTGGAATTTGAATATCATATGACCATGCTAAATATATAGGCATTCTGCACATGAGAAACATGATCATACATCATGTACTACAAACCACAGTTAGAGTTTAGTGGACCTTTATAGGAGTTTCTTCAGGCTCTAAGTATACGCTACTAAAAAATAAGTCAAGGACAAAACAACATCTGACTGACAAGGAAGGTACAGTCAGCAGGAGAGCTATATTTATCATTGGTGGGGAGGAAGGTTACAGCATTAAATTCCAAAATCCCTTGAATGTTCGGTTTGACATCAAATAAAATTTTTATTTCCAAAGAAAAAAATACACATTTATGTTATCAACACAGCCGATGAGTGAACCAAGTAATAATACAGTAAACTCCTCATCATCCGGCATGGAACGTTCTGGTTACATGAATCTGCTGTTCACATGAGAAGAACTTCTAACAGAAACTGAATTTTCATTCAGTTTTCACCATTTTCTGATCTTTTACATATTTATATTTTAAGTTCCTTCAACTTCGAACAGTGCATTTTCACATTAATTCTTGTGTTGGTGTCTTCTCACATGACACAGCAGATTAATGGGTAAATATTTTTGGATATGCTGTAATGTAATCACATATCAATATGGCTGCAATGGCACCTGCATCAGCAAGGATGATTGGCAGCACTGCTGGTGGTGGCTGGAAGAACTACCACATGCAGATGAACTTACATGCACTGCAATTTTGTGTTTGAAGTAACTTTAAAACAAGAAATTCTGGGAAGAACTAATCATCTACTTTCCTTTCACTGTGATTCCAGTATCTGACACAAGTGAAAAGAAAACTTTAGTATGTGTGCATAATGAAGTCAACAAAACAATACAATTTTTGAGGCTACAGTGTTGGTATTACTGATGGGAGTGACTTATGAAGTATACCGTTCAGATAGCATCAGATGGCACAATATACTTACCAAGTTTCATGAGGACTGGTTTGGGCAATCAGGTGTGACGCCGCAGTGCTGATATTACTCATACTAATGGGAAGAATTTATGATGTATACAGTTGAGATGACCTCAGATGGCATGACACATACCAAGTTTCATGATGATTGGTTCAGCAATCCAAGTAATATTTAGGCTATTACCCAAACCATCTGTGAGGCTATCCTATTGGTATTACTGATGCGAGGGATTTATGATGTACACTATTCAGATGGCCTCAGGTGGAATGATATAGGCATACCAAGTTTCATGAAGATTGGTACAGGCGTTCAAGCAGTATCAATGTTTTGCCTCAGAAATTTGAGAGGCTGTAATGTTGGTATGACTGAAGGCAGCACTTTATGAATTATGCTGTTGAGGTGGGCTCAGATGTCATGATATACCTGTACATACCAAGTATCACAAAGACTGGTTCAGGCATTTGAAAGTTGTTGGGAGGGAACACATACAGACACACAGACAGGTGAGCAAGGAGGGCTCATACGCCTACTTTCATTTTTTCAAAATAAGGAAAGTAGGCCAAAAATCATAAACTTTCTATGAAATTTCTTTCCACTTGCATGAAAATTCTGGATACTTTGAATGATAGTAACTGGGAGTTTACTGTATATAGCTTCCGTTAACATACTCTTCAAATCATTCCCAAAAAGTGTGTCACTTACATGAGCTCCTATGTACTCCACACAATGGTCCAGGCGGTCAAGTATGTCAATAAAAGCCTCGCTGGAGACAGAGAGTGTAGGGGAGGACAAACGATTATTGAGTGAGTCCAGAGCCATGAAGTTCTGAAGCCTCTGCCCAACTTCCTCACATATACCATGCAACTTTGTCTGAAAGAACAAATAAAAGACTATGAAGATTTCAATCTTTCATAGTGAATAAATATTCTGAAATCTTCTTCAGTAATCAGCCATGTCTCTACCGAGTTAGAAGTTAATGTTTCAGAGATCTCCTCCATCTCTGGAATCAATCTGATAGACTGGTATATTGTATCGGCAATGTGTGGTCGTTCACCACATCGATCCTGATGATGGTGATCTCTGAAACGTTTGTTTCTAACTCAACACTGACACAGCTGATCACCTGAGAAGATTTTAGCACATATAAGAGAGTACTCAGATAAGCCAATTAGGGTTTCTAAATCTGCACAGAAAGCTTCAAACTTGCATAATATAAAGTATTGTGGCATATTGGCCCTGTGCAGGAACTGTTGAGCCACAGAGGCCTCGGGGCACGCGTCCAATGTGAGTGTTGTGGATTGTATTGGTGGGTTGCTAGGCGACAACTCTGTGAATGCTTGGATGGCGCAACGTCACATATCCCCACTCATCCCGTCACTATGCAAAGCTCAGTAAACACTCCTCCCCGCTAGGCTGTGAAGTCATGCAACAGTAGGGCATCCATTGCTAGGCAATACATGGGTAGACACACCTGCCAACAATATCTGATATCTGTTGCCAAGCAGCAATGTGTTTTCGGTGTGGTCCATGCCGAGCCCATATAAGGAGCAGCGAACACTATTAAGGAGTATGAATTAAGAGTAGTTGAGAGTGGCGGAAGCAAGCGAAGTTGAATCAGGGATACAGAAGGTTGCCTGTGAGGATGTAAACTGTGATTTAGAAGACTTCATGTGTGCGAAGGTGCGTGCAACACTGGATTATAAGGTGTATGTAAATCCGTGATAGCGCTGTAATTTGAGTGTAACTGAGAGAGTGTGTGTAACCAGGCTGTTAATAAATCCAATCATCTGAACTAGAACCCGTCATTTCGTCATGTGTACGCTCCTACATCTGACAATACATTACTTGTCTAAAGACATCAAACAAATGAACAGTGTGTTGGCCAAGAACAGGTTGGAGAGACCAAGTAATGGAAGAAACACAAAACAGTGTAGAAAAAGAGGAACACACACAATAGGAATTGTTGTGGGAGGACACACAAGTACAGAAAATGCGTCATCAAAAAATAAACCACTCTTGATGGTTGTCTGGTCAGGAAGGCTGATTTGCCAGTGTTGCACTCAAATCAGCTGTGTCCAGCTTAGGTGTAAAGTGTCTCATATTCAAATGTAGGATAATTTCTCTGTATTCTGGCAAAACAGCTTGCATTGGTTCGTTCAGTGATATCACTCAAGTACGAAAGCATAAATTTATGTGAACAATTCGTATGAGCCATATTTCACATTGCCATAAAATATTTATGCAGATGATGTTATGAAATAATAATCTGGCAAGGATTCAGTAAGAATGGTAATTATTCATCTGAAGGTAACCGGTAATGACTACTAAGGTCATTTATGTTAAAAGTAATACATATTGATCATTATGGTTATTAGGTTATTTAATGATAATTTATCAGCTTCAAACGCTATCCAGCGCCAAATTATATCAGAGAATGATTATCCATGGTGAACAAGATGGGGAGAAAGTGACTGTGACCTATTTCAAAGCACCATCACGGAAAAACTGAAGAAGCCTTGGAATCTTGGCTGGAATACACAGTAATTAGACAGACAACTCAATCTGGTACCTCTCAAATACAAATCTACACCTATATCTTTGGCAATGTAGGATTAAAATCATCCAAAAAAATAGGAACAAAACAAAATACAGCATCAGGCTTGCAAAAACAATACCTGATCAGCCAGTAATTGTTCGCTATCTTGATGCAGGGAGTTTGTCCTGTTGGAAACAACATGATACTGCTCCATTAGGCAGGCAAGGTCCTTCAGCGAGGCTTCAATCTGAAAGAACAAATATCCCTGAAAGACAGCTTAGGTAAGCAAGTTGGTTGGTTTATTATTCAGTTATTTATGACAATGTAGCAACTTCTCATACTATATATTGTTGAATTGGACATAGCAGGACTATGAATTACATGCTGGGACAGGTGTGAAGAAAATCAAGCATAATATATTCTAAGGGGTTATGCGAACATGCCTGGAGGAATTACACAAATTCGCAAGAAACTTCAGTCAGGACAGTGAGTCCCCAGTTGATATTTGAACCAAGCATCTCCTGACTAAAGTCAGACATGTTACTGTTGCACCAGTCGACCTAGAAATATGGAAATTATGCAAGACATCTGTACCATGAACTGTGGACATTTTTCTGTCTTTCATCATTGTTGTTATCAGCATCAAATTTTCAATGAGCTGGACAACTTGCTGAACCATTCTAGCTACGGTTATTACACTTGGTTTCTTGCTCCACTCAATCTATACTTCATCACTGATTTGTGGAGTCTGTATTTCTGCACTCTGTCAATCTAAACAAAACCTTCTTCTGTAGTCCAAAGTCTTTTAGTTAAAGCAGATCTAGTATGTAATTCATCCGAAATATCCTCATTAGTTTCAGAGTCCTCCACATACATATATTGTCACCTGTTTATAAGTTTCAGCTTAGAAACTGCCAAATGGATATGGATTTAACTTCTACCACCCAGGTCTTGCTACCGTCTATACAAAACTCTGGCTGGAAGTTCAGAGGGCCTGTCAAAAGCCCTCACTCCTAGGCCAGTAAACCTGTCATGGGGAACTTACCACTACTTCTGAGCATCAAAACAAAAGGACAGTAGAGCTCAAGGTGAAAACAGAGGCAAAAAGACAAAACAGTTTTGCAACCAAGTAATAGACTGACTGATCAGAGTAACAAGACTACATTAATCATTACTGGTAACTATGCTTAAGCAGGAGAATGTCATGCAGCAAATAGAGTAAATTCCCAGTTATCCAGTATCCAAGAATCTGGAATTCCCACGTAACTGGCAAAAATTTGTTAAAGAAAATTTGCCACTTTTAGAGTTACTTCAAAAACAAAGTTGCAATGTTCATATGTCCACCCACAATGCAGTACTTATCCCAGCTGCCACTAGCAGCACTGCCCATTGTCCTCCCTCATAAAGGTGTCATTAGGATCACAATGATCCGTGATTACAGCTGGGAGCTGAAGCTATGATCACGTTACAGCTTATACAAAATGTTTTACCCACAAATCCACTATACCACCTAAGAAGACTCCCATGCAAGAACCAAAATGAGAATGTGTTGTTTTGAAAAATCTGAGGTTCTCATAGTAATGGTTATAAAGGCAGCGCCATAGCTCAAGTGGTTAATCGCTGGCTTCCAACCACGGCCGCTACCCTTTTATATCCAGGGTTACCTGCATATTAATCTGCATAAAACTTACTTGGGATAAAAGAACACCACACTCATCTCTTCGCTCCGCCAGCTGGCGCCAGTAGTCCATGAACTGAACATCTTCTGACTGCAGAAGTTCTTCTTCGACATGAGAATACCAAGATAAGAACTGCCAAATAATGTTTGATGAATATATTAGCTAAAATACATAAAACAAGTAACTAGCAACTTTACTAACATACAGAGATGCAATGTTACCTGTTGTGTGGTTTCAATTTTAACCCGGCCAAGTTCTAAATTAACAAAACTTTGCGTTAGATCCTTACAGGCCAAGTCACTGTCTTGGCTAAACTCAGATGGTGCTAGTCTTGCTTCGGCCTCGTCACCGAAAGGCAGCTGGAAAGTACCAAGCTGAATAAAACACACATCACACCTGTGGATATATTGTAACTGCAAACACCAGGCAGAAGCATCTCCAGATGAAAATTAGAGTAGCAAATATGACAACAATGAAGTTGGGTTTCAGACTTCCACGGCCGTGACTATAAAGAATACTACTTTCTGGGATACGACACCATGCAGTCTGGTAGAATTTGAACTGAGGTTTCGGATGAAAGTACCGCCTCCATCTTCTGGGTCGAAAAGGGTAAGTAAAGCTCCCTGATGATGAGAATATACTCCTACGAAACGGCAGTAAACCTCTACCTGACTACACAATAACGTACTACAAGAAAGTTGTCTTCAACATTGAGGTTATTTTCTTCATAAATATGTCCTATCCAATCAGTTTATCCCACTTACGTCAGGAGGAATTGTCTTTATATTAACCTCGTGTGATAGATCTAACACAGCATCTCTCTGTGATGTGCTTAGAGGAGCCAAAGGTCTATCTGGCTGTTCCCATTCTAATAGTTTATTTTGCACTTTCCTAACGTCAAACATTGCCACGTCGGCCATTACTTTAACATGGCCGGTATCGCTCCCTACATTTCATTCGATTTATATAAATCATGGCAATTTAATTTATTTTAAGATTATATGTAATAGATTAGTATTTTTTTAAAAATATTACAGAATATATTATTTTCTATTACGTTGGGAAATTGAGAATAGAACCCATAGGTGCTCTTTCTACGTGCAAAATTTCTTGACCTTACACGCTAGTGCCATCTATGCAATAAATGGTAATTCCCATCTCCGACTTCAGTGGCGTAATCGATAACAACCTTCACTATGATCACTACTATTTCAGCTCTTTACTCCATCGTATGAACGAACAGTCTACACAATTCTAAACACACTACGTTCTTTCAGTGTTTATTCTGCCCTGGTTCTTTGCAGCATGTGGATGGTCAAAACATGTACCTCTGGAATGCCAGCAGCACTGCCCACATCCACACAGTGCCGAGACACAAGGGCACAAACAAAATCAATTGTGAACCACTGTAAGAGTAAAGTTGTCCCTGTGCTTAACGAATTAAGCACTACGCCATGGAGGTGTATGGGGGAGTGTATGTATAGATCCAGGTTTTTTTGACCTCGGCACTAGATAGAGGTGAGTGGTCAGCTTCACTACCCAGCTGCTTTACCCCCAGAGAAAGAGCCCCCAGTACACATGGGATAGAAGAGCCAGTCTGGACAACTTGGGGAAGTGAAAATTCTTGACCCTACCAGGACTTGAACTCCGAACCCTCGGTCGTCCAGCCTGTAGCCAGTTGTAATCCCGACTACGTTAAACCAGCTCCAACAAACCAATATGAAAGCCTACACTCAGTTTTCCACCATATTGATGACATGTGGGAAAACCATATGTGTGTACATGAAACTGTTCTCTTGATATAAAACCAATGCCACCAACATCAACCATTCAGGAGGCTGGCCAAGCAATAACACTACATTGTATTCAGGATATGCTCACTTCAAAGCTCAGGCAAGAGACTGGCTATCCTGACAGAGGTTTTAGTGGTTTTCCCTAGTCCCTTCCAGAAAATGTTAGGACATAACCTTGATTTGGCTACAATGTTCTACAACTTTTTCATATCAATTGTCATTAGTCATTCTATTGCTTGACACCATAGAGTCTAAGTCAGCTGATCACAAATAGACTTTGGTGTGCCAATGTTTTCGTTTGAGCTGGATCAAGGTGTTCCAATAATGAAATTGAGTAACTGAAGTCTTTCCACAATTCCTCAAAAATGAACAAAGCTGGTGTATAGGTTTTCTTCAATCTTACAGAATTTTCAAATCTTTTATGAAAATATTATTCTCTGTCAAATCTGAATTAATGGCTGCTTTTATAATCATTTTTTGTAATTGTTTCTGGTTTCAATGATGGAACAAAAAAAATCAAAATTTCAAGGTGTTTCACAGACAGTTATGACATCCAGGTTGCTCCACAAACTGAAGGAACTTGGGAACCATTGCTCCCAATACTGACAGTGACATAAAATAATCCCAAAAAAACAATTACTCGTATGCAGTCGTCAGCCAATGTCATTTTCCTAATAACCATCTCAATATTAATCTCTATCTCCTTTTCTGTCAAACCTTTCTGAGTCCCCCTTGCCACACCAAATTGCTACATGCATTTCTTGTCTCTTACAGCCAACCTTACTTGCACTGGTAACATAAGTTCCACACCCAGTCCATTGTAATCTACTCTACTTGCTTGTTTGCTTTCTCAGCTTCCTCTTTGACCCTGAAGATGGAAGCATCACATGACACATCTACTATCCTAGAAGGTAGTATTCTTCATAATCTTCACCACGAGAATCTTAATACTCATGCTGTAACCTCTTTCATTTTGCTATGAAATATGCGGTATGATCACCAAATTCCTTGTTATAAAAGACCCCACTTCCTTCATCCAAGGTTCAAATATATTCTTGAGGATTTTACATGCAGGCTGAGCTTGAACCACTGATCAGAGTGGCTGCCTGGTCTAAGGCATGAACTGTCTTTGTATGCTCAAACACTGGGGTCATGGGTTCGAATCTCACTCAAGGCATGGATGTCTATGTGCATATATTGTGTGTGTAGGCAGGGGCTTTGTGAGAGGCTCATCCCTCATCCAACTAGTCCTACAACTGAAAAAGAGGCCAATGAGTTAATTACAGTGTCATGCTTATAGTTCTTTTTCCTTTGGTGCTAGAGCCACAGTTTGAGCCTTGGCCTATCTCCATGGAAGTCTCCCTTTCACTCCAGTTTACTAGATCTTATACATTCGGTAGGACTCCTTGGGCGGGTGATCAGCTTGTCGCAAGGCCTCTACCTGTACGAGGGGGTACCCAAAAGAAACCGAACTTATTTTTTTTTTAACTTATTTATTCAAATTTTAAGCACAAACCTTCAATCCCCTTCAAAGTACTCTCCACTTACACTAATACACTTGTCTAGTCTTTTATTCCATTTTTCAAAACATTGTTTAAATTAATCTTTTGAGATGCTTGACAGCGCCTCCGTCGTTTTTTCCTTTCATGTCTCTTTTCATTCGAGGACACAAAAAAAAGCCGCACGGGGCAAGGTCCAGTGAGTATGGAGGGTGAGGAACAGGGGTCATACCATTTTTGGTCAAGAACTGTCGTACAGACAGGGCTGTGTGAGCAGGGGCATTGTCATGATGGAAAAACCAGCCACCCGACTGCCACAAATCTGGCCGCTGAGCTCCAAGTCACTCCCAACAGCTCCACAATTTCTTCAATGGTCCGTCATCGATCTTCCTTGATGATTTCACGAATTTTTTCAACATTTTCATGTGTTCGGGCCGTGGAAGGACGACCAGAACGAGGATTGTCATCAATTGACATTTCACCATTTTTTAAATGGGAAAACCACTCAAACACTTGAGTTTTCCCCATAGCATCGTCTTTGTATGCCGTTTTTAACATTTCAAGAGTTTCTGTTCCACTTTTCCCGAGCAAAAAGCAGAATTTCACCGCCGCACGCTGTTCACAAAAATCAGCCATTGCAAAAACGACGATCACACAAAACAGTTGTCACTATAAACTCTGCCAAAACTAGTCCTTACCATCTGAAGCAACAGTAGTCGGCTTATTGACTCAGGTATGTTAGCTCTATGCGCTCATAGCGGCAAAATGCGGTACTACAAAAGCTCTGCCTACAAAAAAAATAGTTCGGTTTCTTTTGGGTACCCCATCGTACACAAACACAGAAAAACGCATACACATACAAACTAAACATCCATGCCCTGATTGGGATTTGAACCCATAATCCCAGCTTCTGGGCGAGCAAAGACAGTGCCTGCCTTAAACCGCTCAGCTACTGTGACTGGTGTCCTGCTTATAGTATATATGATAAAACAAGTAATTCTGGCTGAAAAGTTTCCAGTATATTAAAGGGTTGTTATAATGTGACCGATTTTTAAGTTCTTTATCGACCACTTTTTAATATAATTGGAGGGATATGCGCATGTTTTCCTCTGTTGTTTGTGCTGCGGAGACACGGGTGGCTTTATTTTGGATGTTTTCTTCAGAGCATCACTGTATATCATTTATGTCCTGACTGTATAGTTTGGGCGTATTATGTAAAAGTAAAGTTGTCCTTGTATTTAACTAAGCATCATGCCACGAAGGCATATGGGGGAGTGGATGCATAGATCCACATTTTCTTCACCTCGGCATTAGTTGGAGGTGAGTGGTCAGTTACAAGCTTTGGGCACTTTACTACCAGGGAAAGAGCCCCCCCATTACCCATTGGATAGGAGGGTGTGCATCCAGAGCCGGTCTGGATGCAGTGGAGAAGAGAAAATTCTTTACCCTACCGGAACTCGAACTCCAACCCCTCAGTGGTCCAGCCTGTAGCCAGTCGCTATACCCACCATGCTATTCAGCTAGAAGGTGTATTATGTATAGTACATAAAATCATGTAGTGTGGCAGCATTCTGAGAGTATGTATAATTATGTATTTTCATATATGGTACATAGAATGTCCGTGTTAGGTGGGTGCCTTGTCACCACAGCATGGCGTGTCCTCAGGTTACAGATGGAGGAGACGCCCTCCAGATATGGAAGGTACCTGCAAACGTATTGAATAAGCAGTCTTGGAGAGATGACAAGTGTGGGCCCCCAGCTTAGTGTTTGGGTGTGGTGGTAACAACTCCTCACCGTAAAAAATTAGCTTGTTATGAAAGATCACATGAAAACTGGGACCTGGACAGATTCTACGGATAAATGATTTAAGTGAAAGAAAACGGATATGAGATTTGGTACTTGGAATGTTAGAAGTGTGTACAGGGCAGGCTCACTTAGGACAGAGGTGGCACCACACCAGCAGGCGAATATACATTTTTCTATGGAAGGGGGAATGAGAATTATGAATTAGGTACAGTTTCTTTGTACATAAGATAATCATATCAGAAGTTAAGAAGGTATAGTTTGTTAGTGATAGGATATCATACATAATACAGACAGGTCGCTGGTGCAATATCATCGCTCTGAATGTTCACACTCAAACAGAAGACAAAAATTATGATATGAAGGATGGGTTCTATGAAGAACTAAAACATGTATACTCGTACAATAAATTCCATATGAAAATTTTGTTAGAAGATTTTAATGCCAAAGTAGGTAAGGAAGACATTTTCAAACAAACAATTAGAAATGAGTTTGCATGAAATTAGCAATGATAATGGAGTAGTAAACGTTGCCACATTGAAAAATCTTCCTGTCGAAAGTACAATGTTCCCACATCGTAACAGCCATAAATTTACTTGGACATCTTCCAATGGGAATATACACAGTCAAATCGACCATATTTTGATAGACAGGAGACGGCACTCAAGTATACTTAATATCCGATCCTTCAGAGCAGCAGATTGTGATACTGACCACTGCCTGGTGGGGGCAAAATTTAGAGACTGGCAGTGAGTAAACAAACAATGCACAAAATTCATATGGAGAGGTTCAATCTAAAGAAATTAAATGAGGCAGATGGCAAAGAGCAGTATTGTGTTGAAATCTCAGTGGTTACAGGATCCAAGCGAAATAAATGGGGATAACCTGAACAATATAAGACATAAACAAACAGGAATTTCAGGACTAAAAAGAGTGAATATCTGACAGACAAAATTGATGAGCTTGCAACAAACAGTAGGAGAAAGAGCATTAGAGACTGTTTAAGAGGAATAAGAGGGGTCACCAGCCTAGAAGTAACTTAGTGAAGGATGAGAATTGTGATCTGCTTGAAGATTCACACAACATTTTGAATAGGTGGAAGAAGTACTTCTCTGTTATTGAATGTACACAGGGTCAGTGCTGTTAGGCAGATGGAAATAAATACAGCTTAGCTGTAAGTACCTAATCCTAGCCCTTTTGAGATTGAAAGTGCTATTGCAAAATTGAAACGGTATAAATCCCCAGGCAGTGATCAAATTCCGGCAGAACTTATTCAAGCAGGAAGTGAAATATTATGTTCTAAGATCCATAAGCTAATTACTTCTGTTTGGCATAAGGAGAAATTGCCTGATCAGTGGAAGGAATCTACTATTGTACCAGTTCACAAGAAGGGTGATAAAACTGACTGTAGTAATTATCGGGGATATCACTGCTATCAACTTCATACAAAATTTTACCCAATATTCTGCTCTCATGGTTACGTCCATATATAGATGAAATTATTGGGGATCATCAGTGTGGGTTTCGATGTAACAGATCAACTGCTGATCAGATCTGCATTCATCAGATACTGGAGATGAAATGGGAGTACGATGAGACAGTAGTACATCAGCTATTTGTTGACTTCAAGAAAGCCTACGATTCAGTTAGGAGGGAAGCATTGTACAGTATTCAGAGTGTAGGGTACCTATGAAACTTGTTGGGCTGATTAAATTGTTTCAACGAAATGTATAGTCTGTGTAGGTAAACATTTGTCTGATAATTTTCTTATCCAGAATGGTCTAAAACAAGGAGCTGCTTTATTGCCACAGCTTTTCAGCTTTACTTTAGAATATGCCACTAGGAAGAAAAAACTAAGTACATGTTGCTGTCTCGTCATTGGAATGCAGGTTCAAAATCATGACATAAAAATAGATAACAAAGCCTCTGAAAATGTGGCACAGTTCAGATATCTGGCAATGAGAGTAACAAATCAAAATTTTATTCAGGTTGAAAACTGAATTAGGGTAATGCTTGTTATCATTCTACTGAGAAGGTTTTGTCTTCTCATCTGCTGTCTAAAGATGTAAAACCTTGAATATACAAAACCATAATTTTGCTTGTGGTTCTGTGTGGGTGTAAAACTTGGTGTCTGACATTAAGGGGGGGGAGGACTGACTGAGGGTGTTGAGAGTATGGTGCTCAGGAAAACATTTGGATCGAAGAGAGAGTAAGTGGCAGGAGGTTTGAGAAAACTACATAATGAGGAGCTTCATAACTTGTACTTTAGCCGAGTATAATTAGAATCATGCAGTCAAGGAGGATGAGACAGGCAAGACATTTAGCACGAATGGGGAGATGAGGATTGCATATAGGATGTTGGTTGGAAAGCCAGAAGGAAAGAGCCCCCAGAAAGACCCAAGACAGGTGGGTGAACAATATTCAAATGGATGGATTCGATGGGGTGGTATGGGATGGATCAATCTGACTCAGAACAGGGACCAGAGGAAGGCTCTTGTGACACAGTAATGAACCTTCAGGTTCCATAAAATGCTAAAAGTTCTTGAGTAGCTGCACAACTGGTGGCCTCTCACGAGCTCCTTGGGTCCAAGTGAGTGGTACACAGAAATTTGACCTGTGACTGCAGGATGGTTACACGAAACAAAACTTTTAGAAAAAACTCTGATATTGAGAACTCCTTGGCCACCAATGACAACCATCTCAAATTGTGTATGACACCTAATTATTCTGCAGGGAAGTTCAAATTAACTGCACGTCTAGTTTTGTGCAGCAAATACACACATGGGTTGGTTATCACTTTTGCTGGATTGCAGAACAAGTTATGAGTTCAATAAACAACAAAGTTCAATCAAATAATGACTTTATTTTCTTATAACGAAAAGGAACCATGATATCCTAAGCCTCTCTTTGCTTTACAGAGCAAGTCAAGAAAGCTTGTTCATTTGGACTCCTCTCAGTCCATATTACTGTGTATATCCAGGAGCAAACGTAAATCATGACATCAGTTCTCTTCTCCTACCATGACTTCCGATAAAATATTCATCTTATATACAATGTACATAACAGGCAAACACGAACATATATACATCAGTCCTTGCTTGCTAATAAATTCATCTATCAAGTATGCGCTCCAATTCTGCAATGCAAAATATATTCATCCATATTCTTTTGCTTCCCTGGTGTGAAAGTGCTATCTTTATCCCGCTGACATGGAAAACACACCTTATTAATTTCATAACTAATGAGTAATTAAGTTCAGTCTCCATGAAGTCAAATAAGTTATCTTTCCTTCAGGCAAGGGCTGCTCAAGAAATAACTTGGGACAGAAATGGTCTGCTTAATAAATTAAACTATTTACACAACATATAACATATGCTGAAGCCAGACTGCCAAATATAATGTTTGGCTGTGCATTATCACCACCTGAAACTCCAATTGCCTTGTATGTATACAACAATATAGAACCAACAATGTCAAGCAGCTTCACTATGACACACACGGAGAGAAACTTTAACTGGCAGCAGTTAGCTCATCAATGCACATGACTGACAGTTAAATCTTCTATGAACTTTCACATTCACAATTGATCGCTTCTACTACCGAGAACATTTCAGTATTTTTATTGAAAAAGTAGCATAAATACACACAATCTTTGAGAGCTATCTGGAGTGAAGGGAAATAGTAATACTTTCCATCCTTCAGTGTTGCTTATTGTCTGCGTTCTCTCTTCAGTCACTAATTCCACTTACACTATGAACTGGTGATACAAAAAGTGTTTTAGTTATTCCAATCCATTGACATTACAACTGAAAGCATTTTCTTCTTATTACCCTTTCCCACCCCTTTGCTGGTAAGTTTCATGTACTCAGGCATCATCTGCCGGTGAAAGTCGGGTCTCCATGCTCTTGTAGGAGTAACTCTTCTGTTGCAAGTACAGCTAGTTCAGCTGATCTGATTGGAAAGGGTTAAAGGAACTCTCATGTAGTTTTATACTGCAGAAGAAAAGAAAGTGCCAGCTGGAAACATTGGGGGCATGCCTGTTAAAAGCCCTTACATATCTGATCTAATTTCTAGCTAATAAACATATCACGTAGTACATACACACATATTAAAAACGAAAATATTATTTTCAAATAGCACAGCCATATTAACTTTTCCTTTCTCTCTTTTTGTCCAGCTCTGATGTTATGACACTGGGTGCTCCACGTCCTGCATTACTTTTTTAAATATTCCAAAAAACCTTATGTTCTGAACCGTGTATGTCATTTCAAAATAGCCCTGCATCTTCAATAAAGACTTGTATTCCTCAAACACAAATTGGACTTACATCACATTCTTTTCCCGAACATATATCATGGCACTGCATAACACAAGTTCCAGTACTACTGGAGATCAACATTCATTATAAACTACACTGTGTCACAACCGGCACATTAAGTCATTATATTCAGCTGCCAACTTCTAATCACCTCCCAGTACCTACATTAATCAAACTTTTGTTTTCCAAAGAACAAAAGATCCACATTTTCTGTTTTCTATTATAGAATTCATTTCAGGTCCTTCTAGGCCTGACACAATCCAATCTGGCCAATGCTTACAAGCTGGTATTCCAATGAATATGGTTTCAAAATATAAAAGAAATGGCACATACATCCAAAAATATTTGGTTTTCAACAGTTCTCTCTCATACTGTGGGCACAGAGCTCTCTCTCTCTCTCTCTCTTGCAGGGTCCATACAAAGCAGAAAGGCTTGCCAGCATGATGGTTAAAATTCAGTGATTTGTTGACATCAGGCACACTACATCCTGGGCATAAAGTCTGTACCAACATGAGATAGCTAAAAGCACTAGATATACAAAGAATGCAATTTTATGATTGATTCTATAAATCAGATTAAAGAGAACCTCCATCTGCTCAGGTACCCAAGCTAAGTACTGGTATAAAAGTGTCAACATGTGCATACCTCAAAATCTAATTCAACATGAAATCCAATGTGTGGAGCAGAGAAGTTCATCAAGCCAATGTTACCACTTTTTATAAACATTTTCCAGAATCTTCAGTATTATTTCTTTTATGGATGACTCATTATAGCTGCAACAACACAGTTGAATGATCTGATTCTGCTTAAAACAGACTACATGCAATGAAAGATGGGCATAACTATCCAATGGATCAACAACTGAACCACTTCATTTGAAATCAATATTTATCATTCAAACAAATGTCTGCCCTATTACTCAATATGTAGTGGCAAAACTTGTTACCCAAGAAATCTAGGTAAAAATCTGTATCAGTCTGATGACAGATGAAATGCACTTGTGACAAAATTCAGTAGTACAACCATTTCCTCCTACCTACACATATTTAGTGGCTAAAAATAAATATGGCAATCATGGCGAGTATAGAGACTTGCATTCCAAAATTTATACCAAACCTCACCGTTTCTCTCAATTCTCACATATATCCAAGACCCAAAGTTCTTCAGTCACCACATATTCAAAACAAGAGGCATCATGTGGGTACAAAGGTTGTGTGAATACAGTGTAAAAATAAACCAATTCCTCTAACACCAAACAATTGAACTGGTGATGCAAAATTTGGTCTGGCTGTATTCACAGGCTGCATGTAATTCAACCAAGTGGCAAACTCTGTCTTTTTATATTGGACTCCACTGCAGATGTTACTTGATTACAAAAAGAAAAACAGCCAGACTGACAAGAGGCTTGGCTGGAAAATGGTTAATGTCAAACTACACTAGACTAGCAATAACAACCTTACAAGAATAGCATTATGTTGTAGGCTGTTATTAATGAAGCCTTCAGGAAAGTACCCACAAAACACGGAAATCTGGACTACACCTCTGCAAACTACCACGCTTTTCAGAGGCTATAGTATGAGTGCATATTCTCCCAACATGTCCCAGGCAAGGGTCAACTTAACACCTCAAAGACATATACTAGCACTGACAGCAGAGTTCACTTCTGTCCATTAAGTTCCATTCAAAGTCTGATCTTCTTTGTAGAATCACTTGCAGATTATTCCAATACAACATGGCAGACGTATGTGTAACCTTGGTAATACTGCTTTAATTCCATATGGTTCTACTGCAATCAGAGACAATGCAAAACAATATCATACCCAACTACTTGGGCAAGTAATAAGAATGAAATTATGGCATGGATCCATTTGGGGGCTGCTGCGACTGCTGATTCTTGCTGCCCTGCTGTGCGGTGCTGCCACCTAGTTGTGCTAAGGTTTCCTGAGATGCATGGGCTTTCAGAATGGTGTTTTCAAGCTCCAGCTGGTTGATTCTGTCCATCAGTTCCGCAATCTTCTCTTTCAGGACCTCAACTTCTTCCCGGACAGCAAACATGAGATGACTCTTAACAAGATCCTGCAAGAACACAAATGGCAGGATTACATGAGGGTCTGTTACTCTAACCGGTTACCTACCGCAGCAATAATTTCATAGAAGAAATCTGTTATCACAAACATCCTGAAATATTAGATAATGAGCAACAGAATCTGAATTGCACAAGTTGTGGTTCAATGGCTTTCTAATTAGGGCACAGAGAAACTGTTGCCTACAGCACAAAGCGTGGCAAGTACATTGGCATCTGAGGTTCTGAAGGCAGTGACTTTGAACAGTACTGTGTTCTGCAATGGAACACTGTGTAATTCAGAGGAAGTCAGATGTTCTGAAGAAACATATCACTCGTTTCCATCGTCAGCTTGTTTCTTGCTTAGCTTACTGTTTAGCCTTGAAGACTGGGGCAATATGTTCCTCTTAAACATCTGGTTCTCTCTGTAAGTTGTTTAATTTCTGTTGTGGTTTTTGGTATACTTCTCCCACTTCATGTTTAATTATTTATTTGTAATTACATTTCATAGTTCCAGTTGTTACCCAGTAGGGCTGGATATAAAATCTGTCACATACAAAGTCTTATATAAAAGATCACATGCAATAAATATAAATATACAACATTAAATATAACATATAAAATTTAAGATATAAAATATTAAAATATATATAAGGTAAATAGGGCCTCATGCAAAGAGCACAAGTTGCCAGTCCAGTTTTCCCATTTTGAAAAATACATACATATTAAGTCCATTCTCAGCCTTAACTGACTAGAATTGTCAAGTGTTAAACTAATCAGTACAGCCACTATTAAATCCAACCAAAGGGAGTAACTTACAATATGTTTACTCATTCTATTTATTTACCCTCTATCTTTGTAACTCTTGTATGCTCTATAAATTCATTGATAGAGTAAAAAGAATTTCTCAGCAGATATCTTAGTATTCAGTATTGAGGGGGTGGGTTACCCCATGCACCGCGACCAGTTTGATCTATTGTGCGTACCCCTTTGAATTTCTACTGTCTGCATACCCTACCGGTACTGGTGCTTTCTATCGTTCCCTTTCTGCCAGCGAGGTTTCGGCCTTCTACTGGCAGTGGTATCTGATAGTTAGTCGCTTTCTGTCAGTGAGGTCGTCCCTCCTCTGGCAGTGGTACCTAAGCTCTCCCATCTACCGGAGGCATTGGAAACTACTTGGGCGGGAAATTGCCTAAATTTAGCTCAGAGGTCTCCTAGAGACATGAGGTTCTTTCACGTGCCGTAAATCTACGACACGAGACCCACGGCTTAAAGTCCCTCCCGGAGGACTTGCTCCCTGAAATTTTCCGCCCTTAAAAATTCCACAACCCCCGCCGGGTCTGAAACCGCGTACCTTAAGTCCTGAGGCGGGAACGTTACCCCTAGACTACGGAGGCCGCTTGATATCTTAGTAAAGCCTTCCTAAATTGATTTTTGTCTGTTCTCAAAATTGTGATACTGTTAGGTAATACATTAATTAGCCTGATACCTGAGTAATATACACCTCTCTGATAAGCTGATAAAACGAGAAACAGGTACATGAACAAGACTATTGTTGTTGCTCATCGTGTGGTGGTTACAGTTAACATCTCAAGGTTCTTCGATTCACATGCATAGTTTCTGTCGCTTTCTGAGCAACATTCTTTTTTTTTATTTAATTCCAATAATTATACAATCTATCCATTAAATGTGGATAATAAGTACTACTCAAACTACTCAAACACAAAGGGGGCACGAGGTAGCGTGGTTGGTTGGGGCACTATGCTACAATGGTCGAGGGATCGAATCCCGATGAGGTGGATTTTTTCAATTAACCTAATCCTTCCAGCCGCACTATGGTCCTGGGGTTCACCCAGCCTCTAACAAAAATGAGTACGAGGAATATTCCTGGGGGTAAAAGGCGGCCGGCGAGTAAGGCTGACCTCACCGCCATCTGCGAGCCTCAACATCTCACAACCCTATGGGCCTCCACGGCCTGTTACTTTTCCACTTCACAGAATAATCTAGTGTTCCGTTACCATGATTACTAAGAGTACAAAATGTATTCAGATTATGTCCTCATTGTCATCACAATGTTTTTCTTATGGAGGAAAGAATGGAGAAATACAGTAACTTGCAGAAAAACTCATCACGTAACAGAGGAATTAGCAATTTTACCGGGACTCTTTCATCAGGAAGAATATCCTTTTGTCTTTGTCATTTTTAGCTTACTTTCCTTATTTAAAAAAAATAAAAGCTGGTTTATGTGACGTCATGCCGCATGTCTGTATACCCCCTCTCTCCAATTTTTGAATGCCCGAATCAATCTTTATGAAACTTGGTATGTTACCCAGGGCACCCAGGTCCATTCCAACGGCTATTTCATAAATCCATTTCACCAGTCTGTGTCTGAATGTGCAACCCCCTATAGTTTCTAGGCATCGGCTATGAAGACACGTTCCCGTGGCAACGAACACACGCAACAGCAGAAGAATTTTTGGAGGTCATTATCTATACTGTTCGTGTCGTATCATGGGAGAGCTATCGTTGTTAGGTAACGGTTCGGTAAACACGTATCCGCGGCAAGAAAGACTTGTTGGAGGCGTCGTTTTCTATGGGGTCCGTGTCGTATAAAAGGAAAGTTGGAGATTTAATTCTTAACGGCGCGGGCAGCCTCGTGCTGAAAATACGGTGCAATAAACGTAGCGCCTACACAGACAGACCGACCGACCCCTCCCCTCATCGAAGAGGATGCCCCACCTCTCAAACACGCACATTTGTGGGAGAGAAAAAAAGTCTTGGCCATGGATCTCGAGAATCAAGCCAGGACTGACTGTGCTGGTTAAAGTTAAAGTTATGTTACGACCGACTGTCAGTCGGCAGGTGTGTCTTCATGTGAAACCTCCATCTGGGGTTCAAAATGAGATCTGTATTACTGCCGGACAGTTGCGAGTTTGTTCGTGTGGAGCGCCCTCTCTCACGAGAGGATGGGTCTGTCATTTATATTGCCGCTGGTCCGAGTCCCGAAGGTCTCACGACCATATTTTACTGTATTAGAGAGTCAGGTCCCCGTATTTATACGCCCCAGGAACAGGTTTGCCCAGTTATACCCCTAGGCACTCGGTTCCCTTTTCGTCGCCTCTTACGACTCGGAGGGCTATGGTGGAGGTATTCGAACCCGCCTCCACACGGGGATGACTGTGCTGGCAAAGGACAGCAGTAATTTAACAGACAGACAGTTCTTACCAGAATTTCTAGTTCTTCTACGTGCCTTTTTCGGGAAAAGACGGACGTTCGGCTACTGTGCGCGCGTGTAACGCAGACACTAAATATGTTCCGTAACAGAGATACGACTATTTATCGTAAAGGCAAGGCAAGGCCATCAACTCATATCTAAAACAAAGTTACAGAGAAAAAACATGTCTGCAATGGAAACCCAAGACTGAACTTGTCATAATGGATGGTTAGGGTAGACGATGCATCAACTCCGAAGGTTATTTAGCATCAAATGGGACTGGACGACAAAGAACAGGGTACGAAGCCATTTGGCAGCCGCATCCTTAAGCCACAAGAACGTGAAATGTGTACCCAAGTTACCGATATTCTTATTTCAGTTTTTCATCCCTCAATAATATCAATGATAGTTCAGCGTTCATATCAACTTTTTTTATTGCTTGTGGGGTGGGACTAAGTCCCTTGTACTGCGGCCACTTCTGGCCTATTATATCAGTTGAGATGAACTTACTCCTGCAACTCCCATACATGCAGTGTAGATTACACGCAGATAATGTCTACGTAAAATCTGAACACTGAACTGACGAGGGTTTTCCTGATGCTGGTCTGGTCTGACTTAATACCTATGTTTGTAGTTAACCGATAAGATACCTCTCTTTTCTTTGCCAAATGAAACAAGCTTCAGATAGCGACAAGACTTTGGAACAGCAGAGATAAAAGGTACACTACGATAGGTGTTTTAAAAGGTTGTACATCTTTTCGCTGTACGCATTTTGTACGATGTCCACATTTTTTTTTATTTGTTAGTATGCACAACACAGGACGCCACGAACACCTACTGGACGACGTTAGAGAAACCTCTTCTCAAGAACTACAAGACGGTACACGTGTGGCCCCATTTATGAGAAATAATAAAAAAAGGCACGAACCAACTTGGTTTACAATTTCCAACAAAAATTTTAACATACTGTCACGTGTCGGGTATGTCACGTGACGAATAACCACGTGGGTCTCGGATTTAGCGAATTTTTATTGGACACTCAATCTTTCGCACCTTACAATTATCACCACCTGCAGTATCCAATCACTGCTTCCACAATGTCTTGGCCAATACTAGACAGCTTTCGGGGGCTGCTATATTTCAACTGTCCCTGACCGGGACTGGATCCCAACGATCCCAACTGTCTTCAGCGGCGGCTAGCCCAAGACTGTCTATCGTATGGCTACTAGGTTCCAACTGTCTTGTTGCTATCGAAGTCACACTGCTGTCTGTAGCTCTCGGCTTATGTAGGTGTTCTGCGGACTCAGTAGAGGACACCCCTCGCCAAGGTTCTATCTCATGTGTTCGGCAATCCGTTGTTTCGGGAACGCTCCTTATACGCTGGTAACGAGTTTCGTCTCATCCGTTGTTACTCAACGGCCTTCTGTTGTTCATGTTCGTTGTTTCGGCATTGTCTACGCAACGGCTCGCTGTTATTGCGTTACCATGGAAGTGCCTATTCCAAACATGCGACAATATTAAGGCAGCCGCTGTAGTTGTTAAAACATCAGGTTTTATGTCCATTATACTTTATCGACATTACATGTATACATTCTAGCAAGCATTCAGAAACATACTGTAACAGTGGCTTACTATTGTATAGATGTCGCTCCCGGGATGGTCTGTAAAGACCGAAACATGTAAGGGAAGAACTGAATAAGAAAAATCTTTACTAGTCACACTGGACGAAACTGTTTATCCTCCTATGATGATGTCCACATATACATGTTTATCACGATTTTTTCTTTTTATTTTTAATAG